CTGGAGGGGGGCTGTGGTGTAGCCAGGCCCCCCCCTGCCGGCTCCAGTCCTGCCAAGGCCCCAGCCCCCCTTTGTCTCCGCGCCGCCTGTTCCCCACGTCTCTCCTGCACCCCGGATCCCCTGCTCTCCCTCTTCCCTGCGACCCTTTGGCTCTGCGCTGCCCTTACACCCTGCTCCCCCTGATCCCTGCCCCCCCCAGCTCTGTGCTGCCAGTTCCCTGCACTGCCCCTAGACCCCGATCCCTCTGCCTGTGCCTCCACCGCACCCTGATCCCCCCGATCCCTGTGTCCCTCTGGCTCTGTGCCTCCCAGTCCCCGTGCCACCCCCATATACCCCTCCACTGGTCACTGCACCCCTCTGGCTCTGTGCTGTCCCTGCACCCTGCCCCCCTGTGCATTGGGAGTGAGGGGTGCTTGTCCATAGGGAGGGGCTGGACAGGGCAGGGAAAAGGCTGCTGTGACCCAGCAGCAAGTTAAAGGGGGAGTTCACTTGGAGTGCCTTTGCCTTTATGGAAAAAACAAATGAAAATGCTATTTGCTATTTATAGGGCTAAAATGCCGGGACAAAAACAAACAAACAAACAAAGACCATTGCAAAATGCAAACGTGTAAAAGACAACAACAAAAAGGGAGGGTTTGCCAAAAAATGTTTTGCTTGAGGTAGCAAAAAACCTAGAGCTGGCTCTGGGGGAGGGGAAAGGGCTGGGCTGTGGGGGAGGGGAGGGGGAAAATACAGGGAAGGGGCTTGTGCTGAGGGGAAGAGTTTATGAGAAGAAGAAAGGGGAAGGCACCAAAGGACGGGGTGCAGGAGAGACAAATGCCAGGGGGCCAAGTACAGACATTGAGGAAAAGGGCAGGAGGGGAGGTGTCAGTGCGAGGATGATGCTGGGAGAGGAGCGGGTAAGGGCCCTGGGGACTAGAGGGGGGAGGGGAAGGTTCTGGGAGATGGCTTGAAAGAAGGGCTGGGCATGAGGAAGGTGGGGATGGAGCAAGGCATGTGTGAGGGCACAGGGGCATGAGGGGAACAGGGGCAGAGGGGAACAGGGGGTGGGTAAGGGCAGTGAGGGAAGGGGGAGGCACCAGGAGGATGCAGGTGCCAGGGGATTCTGGGGGTGAAGCAGAAGGGCAGACACCTGCAGGGGAGGGACCAGCACCAGAGGAGAGAGGCAGGGCAGGTGTGTAGAAGGAGGTGTTAGGAGAGGGGATGAGGAGGGGTAGCTCACATGATCTGAGTGGGGCTACTGGAGGAGTGGGCACGGTGGGGAGTGAAAGGCTGGTGGAGGGGGGCAGGTCTCAGGAAGGCTGAGGGCAGTGAGAAGGGCAGGAGTCAGGACAGCAGAGGTGGGCAAGGGGTTTGGGGGGCAGCAGGCACCAGGGGAGCTGATGGAGCAAGTAGAGGAGACCGAGCAGCAGAGGGGAAAGGTAGAGGTTCATAAGATATTTATTAATAACTTGGGTGCCACAGAAGCACATCCAAACAAGCCACAACTCAGTACTGGTGCACAACACAAAATGTATTGTGCTCATAGGAGGAAACTCTTAGAGGGAACACGTCCCCCAGTCTCTCCACCCCCCGAGTTAATGTCACACACATTGGGTTAATGCAATTGCAGGATTGTTGCATGAGGGGGGTTTGGTGAGGGCCAAACTGATCCCTGTTGGTAAGAGGATGATGGGAAAAATCCTTGGGGGGGGGCACATGACACCTTTTATTTCTGGTCATGTGTCCATATTGCCCCGAAAGTGTTACCTGCAGAAGCATGGCTCATGGGGGCCGGGGGTGTGGCTAACCGGGGTTAAAGAGTACATTTGAAAAAATTCTTTGGGTGCACACCCTAATGAAATGTGCTGCGCACGCCTATGTCCTGAGCCCTGTTTTAATGTTCAAACTGGCTGGAAAATAACTGATCCTGGGTGTGCCGCCTCTCTGCTTCATCGGTATCCCCCTTCCCTTTCCTCAAAGGTCCCACAAGAAGAGGGCTGAGGCCTCCCAAGAGAAGATTCCGCTTCAGACCCCGGAGCAAGTCATGCTCAAAGAGACTTGAGGACGGTGCTCAGACCCAGAGTCCTTCTGGGTTCATTTGGGTAGGGGGGAGGGCAGCAGCTCAGTTCCAAATATCCCCTATCTAATCACACACTGCTCCCAGTCATCCCCATGTCCCTTGAGACCCACACCCAGGGTGGCTTTTTGCACACAAGGATTCTGGGTAGGAGGCATTAAATTTACACCGCAGTTTGAGGGAAGGGGTTTCCAGAGAGAAACCTACTGGGAAAGGAACCTGCGGGCTGGTTCAAAACTCTCAGGAACATTCAGGAAATACCTCCCCACTCCCTTCCAGGCTAACTAATGCTTGGAGTACACCAAGGAGCACAACGAGGCCCTTCATCTCCTGTGTGGCAGCCTTCTGTAATGCAACCCGTTCCCCCGCTGCTAAGAAAGGAGACAGGGACAAGCTCACACCAAACCTCCTTCATGCCCAGTAGCCCAGGGGATGGCACAGGGGCTAGCTAACATAACTCAGCACTGACACAGATAGCGTTACTGTGTCATGTGGCTGATGCCCAGCTGCACGGCCTGGCTGGCTGGCACCTTACACCTGACCATTATTGGGGGGCTACCGAGGGAGGAGGCACAGGAGATACAGACCCTAGTGGAGTGTACAGCAGCCCAGAGTCCAGTGTTTTCTGCAAATGCAACCTACTGCTTGGCACCTGCCTGCCACAAGAATGGGGGATAAAGATCAAAGCCTTCCCTGGGAATGCAGCAGGGATGAATCTGTCCCAAAGCTTGTGTTTCAGCCTACGCACTGGAGAAAACAAGCCTTTCTATAGCGGGGAGCAGACATGGCCGTGCAATAAACACACAGTCATTTCACAGCACAATGTCTTGTGATTACTTAATCTCCGAGCCCAGGGCTGGTCTGGTGAGATGCAACAAATAAGGGAGAAAAGACACACAAGGTAAAATTTCCTCTCTGCTCCTACTCAGTCCCCTTCCTTATTTATATAGCCAAAGATCGCATTGGCTCTTTAGGTCCCAGCATTGCACCAGGAGCGCATGTTATAATTTAGATTATTCACAAGAATGCACACAGCCCCGTTTCCCCGACAACAGAAGGTAAGAATTCCCTACTCAGAAACCCCCACGTCTGCCCCACCAGCAGGCTCTGTGCCCAAGAAGCCCTGTCTCTCTGCATCCTCTCCCACAACTGCTCCAGCCCACACAGGCTGCAAAACCAACCTCCTAGACCATTGGGTCTCAAACTGGGGGGCGTGCCTCCTTTGGGGGTGGTGAAGAAATTCCAAGGGGGGCATGAGGTGACCCAGTCTCCCCTCCCTCCCCGTCATTCCTCACCCACCCTAAGAAAGAGCCCGTGCTGGCACTACCTCCTGCAAAAATGGAGTAGTGCTGGGCTCCTGCAGTGTGTGTGTGTGGGGGGGGGGAAGTCCCACAGCTGCACGCCAGGTCTGGGTTTCAGGAAGTGCGTGCTGCCATGGGGAACAGAGGAGCAGGGCGTGCGCTGCCTGGGCAGCTGGAGCTGGCACGGTCCCAGGACCTCTACTCCCTCCCCCCTCGCATAGGCAGGCAGCAGGGGGAAGGAAGTCAGGAAATGTGCCGGCTTTTTCGGGAGGAGGAAAGCAGTGCACGTGCTTCCTGAAACCCAGACCTGGCGCGCAGCTGTGGGATCCCCCCCCGGTACCAGCTGAGCTGTCCCTGTCCCCTCCCTCCACCCAGACCCCCATGAGTACCATGCCCCCCTGCCCAGTTCCTCATGAGTACCCTGTCCCCTACCTAGACTCCCCACGAGTACCTGCTCCTCTGCCCTCCCTGCCCAGACCCCCACAAGTATCCTGCCCAAGGTCCCACCAGCAACCTGCTCCAGGACCCAGCAACACCCTGCCCCCTGGCCAGGCTCCCACCTGCCCCCTGGCCAGGCTCCCACCTGCACCCTGCCTAGGGCCTCACTTGCACCCTGCTCCTGCCCCCTCCCAGACACCATCACTCTGCCCCTGCCTCCTAGCCGGACACCCACCAGCACCCTTCTCCTGCCCCCTCCCTCCTGGCCAGACACCTACCCTTAGCTTGTTCCTGTACCCTATTTTCCACCCAGATTTTGCACCCCATCTCTATCCCACTCACTGACACACTGGATCCCCTGTCCCACACACTGGAACCCTCAATTTTTGGCCCTACCTTAGAGTGTAGAGGGGCCCACAAATTCTACTTACCATAGAACCCCACAAGAGTTAATCTGACCTTGAACCTCAGTCCTACCTACCTTCCTTCCATGGGGCTGGGGTGCGAGGTGTCTCAGTTGGGGCCACATCAGTGAGGCTTGGAGGTGTTGTTTTTTCGCATCTTGCTTGTGTGGTCCCTGACTGATTTTTCTGATTTCTCCTGTCCTGCCTCAAAACAGGTTCCCCACCCCTCCCATAAATAAAGACAATGCTGAAACATTTGTGTTGGACATATTTTATTTTAAAACGAAGCCTGGCCAACAAGCCCCCATTGGGGCCAAGTCCTCATCTGGCTGCAGCATCATAACACCCCTGCATGTCCACATACACCCCAACCCTGAACCTATCATACTCTGGAACCCCCTGTTCTGAGCCTCTCACATCCCCAGTCTTCTGCCATAACACTACAAATCTGTGTCCTGTTGTGACATAGTGTTGGTACCTTGCTGGTTGCTATGCTGGGCGGTGGGCTGTGGGTGACCTCCGCTGGCGGCTGTTTGTAGCATGGCCAAGCAGGACAGGGGATGAGTCATTATGCAAGGGGCTCCCAACCTGTCCGACCAGTTGCCTCCCAGGGAGAGAAACAAAGGAAGGAGGGGAGGCCAGCCCTGGCTGGGGGGCAGGGCTGGAAGAGAATTTTTTTGGTTTCTGTCTGGTATCATGGAGGAAGCAGCCTAAGCAACGGGTTGGGATTTAGGGGCCCAGTCTCCCCCATCTCAAGGGGGGCTGAGGCATCCTAGGCCTGGCCCTGTAACCGGATTACATCTTTGCTGTGCTGTATCCTGGAGAAGCAATAAACTCCCTCTATTCTACTGGCTGGTGGAGTCTGTTCGTGCCACTACGGGGGTGCAGGAGGCGGGGTACCCCCGACACGCCACCACACCTGTGCCCATCATACTCCCAACCTGCCTGCCCTGAGCCCCTCATGCACCCCAACCTGAACTCCTCCACCCTCATGTCCACAAGCCTGTGGTTTGCTTGGCACCCCAACCCTCCCCAGCCTGGAGCCCCCTCCCTGAGCCAGCATCCCCTTCTCTACCTCCTCCTGTACCCAAATTCCCCCCCAGAGCTTGCACCTCTCACCCCTTCCCACACCCAAATCCCTCATTCCCTCATTTCAAACCTAGGATTTCCCAACTCGTGAAGAAAATGCAGCATCATCCTTCACATTAACTTTGTTTTGTTTCTGCTACTTCTTATGCTGTTACATTTTTATTAAGTTTTTGTGCCAAGAAAACTTCTGTGGTCATTTTTAATTCTAAATAATTTTTATACCAAGTTCTTGTGTTTATTTTTAATTTTAAATTACTAATTGAATTTTTTGTTAAAAGGGGGGTTGGATGCTGGTAAAGAAGAGGTGGGGAGGCACGAGGGTTTCTCAAAAATCAAAAAGGGGGCGTGATGCTGAGAAGTTGGGGAACCACTGTCCTAGCCCCTGTGCCTGCAAGGCAGAAACCTCTCAGCAGGTAGGGCCTAGATCTGAGCTACTAAGAGTCACTTCAGTCTTTGTAGCTGGCTCTATTGTATAAAGGGGCTTAATTGCGTCTTCCATACAATTGGCACAGGGGCCTGGTACAGCCAACACCTTTAGCGAAGTCTGTGATGGTCTTTCATTACCCTGCGACCTCCTTCTGGCAACAAAAATCATTACACGGCCCCAGAAAAGGGAGACTGAAGCATGAGCCCTCCCAAGCCCTGCCAAAGCCCAAACCCATGAACTTGCCCCCAGGCACTTGGGCTCAGGCTTCGGCTTCAGCAAGTCTAACGCCAGTCCCGGTAACCCTGCTAAAATGGGACCACGACCCACGTCTTTGGTTTTAATATACTTTGACATGACCCCTGAAGCTTATTTGTAACTAATGGTGGCTGGGGAAGAAAGACTGAAATTCACCTCCCCCCTCCCAATTTTTTTCTTTCTTCCCATCTCCCCTTTCTCTATTTATTCTTGGTTCTGGACATCCAATACTCTGGTGATCTGAAGTTTTTCCTGTTACAGATTAACTTGGCTACCCCTCTGGAGCTTGTGAAATTCTTGTCAGGTTTATACAGAACTATGCTCAACTTTCGTAAACTGATTTTAGTTAGATTATTAGTTGGGATTTTTCCATTTACTAATCAGGCAATAACCGGAGCCAATAAAGGAGAGTGTGGGGAAAGAAAGACTCACATGACGGCTGCTGTTAATAATCCCTAGCCCTTGCCTAGGGATTTGCATCCATAGTTCTCAAAGCACTTTGCAAAGGAGGTGAGGACTGTTGCAAGGGAATGTGGATTGCAACTGCTTTAAACACTAAGGAGAGGAGATCACCACATAGGAGTGTAAAGGGTTTGTTTATTCAGTTAAAACTGGGAAGGGAGAGGAATCTCACTCATACACTCAACCACACTTACGGTCCCAGGCAGGATGATAAGGCGAGCAGAAGGCAGTTCATGGTGTTTGATCTTCCCAAGACCTCCTAAGCTGGTCCGCTGGCCAGGAGAGCCGAGCAGGGGGCATTCTGGGAGGCTCCACTTGATGGTCAACCAACTGTGTCTCTGTCCCTCTTTCCTTTTAGGATCAGCCACATGCAGCGTCTGTGTCTCTGGGTTTGGGGCCCCGTGCACTGTTGTTTACTCCTGCCGTTTACCTCAGAGTTTTCCCGCCTCTGGTGTCCACCTCAGACATTCTTCTGCACTCACTCAGGGAAGGGATAGGGGGTGAACAGATAACATTTTAACAGGTTAGGGAACCAAATACAACATCATTAACTCTTCCATTTTAACTCTTCCCTTGCTCCTCCTTTGCCTCCAACAAGGACAGTTACCGCAGTTTTATAGCAGTAATGGGAGGTGGGGGGAGTGTCTAACTTGTCCCAACATCCCTTTTGAAAACAAAATGTTTTGTTTTCAGGGTTCTAAATGGCTGTCTTGAATTTTTAGTATACTTCTGAAAAAAACAAAAAAGGTAGAAATTGAAAGGCACGTTTTGAGCCATCCTGATGGAATTTTTCCTTCGTTTTATTGGTCCACAACATTTTTGGACATTGTGATTTTTCATCCCAGCACAGGACGGGAAAAAATGTCAAATGTCAGGAGAGATGGGGGAAAACATTGCCCTCCCAGCTCTCAGCACTATAACTAGGGATTTTTGTGCCTGGAACAAAATATTAATTAGGCGCCCCCTCACCTTAGGTTAGCAGCGTCGTCCTCTTTACTTTTGCAACTTATTATTTTTATTTATTGTATCTTTGTGCCCCTGATTATGATGCACCTGTGGCAAATGTCCTGCTTGCCCCATGCTTGTTATGGCCCTGCCAGCTCTACCTTCAGCCCTGCATCTGCCCCTTTGCCAGCCCAGCAATGCCCTGTCCCAAACCCCACAGCAATTCTCTCCCCCAACCCCATCTCCTCTCCTCTTGCAGCTTCCGGCGTTTTTCACACACACACACCCCAGGCCTAGAAGGGGGCAACGCCAGTGAAGTCTCCCCTGCTCCCTCCCAGGCCAGGTGATGCTGGCAGGAGAAAGAAAGGAGGAGGAGCTGGAGAACCATCCCGTTGTTCTGGGGATGGGAGGGTTCGACTGTAAGGTTCTTGGACTATGTCCAGGACTGTGAGAGTTGCACTGTCACCCCTGCCTCCAACAAGGGGTTGTTTCTTCTGGTAGCTGGGTATCAACTCCCCCTCCCGCGTCACAGTTCTCGGCAATGCCAGCTCTAACCTGGCCCTGGGGGGTACCAACTTCTGATCCCACTTAGCACTAGCCAGCACTGACAGAGAAACCCAGAAACAAGAGGGAGGGGTGGAAATGGGGGAGGAGGTGAGAAAAGAGAGAGGGGCTGGATTGTGATTTGCAGGAGTGGGAGAGAAAGGGGCTGGACCATGGTTTGCATTTAGTAGCTGCTCCTGCCATAGCCTCTGCTCCTACCTTCCTCTCCCCGACAGGCTGCAACTTTCTCTGGTTCTGCAATGCAGATGGCAGAGCTTCCTCTGAGTCTGCCTGGGTCCAGGGCCATCCTTACCCCTATGCAGAATACACTGCTGCATAGGGCACCTGAAAATCTGGGACACCACTGGGCCTTAATGTTCACCTTGCTGCCTCTTCCTCTCCCAACTCTATCCCCTGCTTCCTCCAGAGAGGATCTAATTAACTTAAAAGTGAAAAAACCTGCCAGGCCTATTAGCAGAACATTGAACGTGTGAAAGAGCCGTTCAAGTGGTAATGAAACCACTTAACTGGCATGTGCCAACCCCAGGTATATCCTGTCAGGTTCTGGATTTACTGTGCTGACAAGACCTTAGCTTAAATTTTGTTTTAAAAATATTTCATTAGTTTGTTGCGGGAGATTAGAAAATCACATCTCTAAAAAATTGTCCTCCTTCCCCCACCAATCCAGACTGCCATCAGGCACAGGGGCACTAATTTAATAGTATTGTGTAGAGTCCCATAAATACTAAGGATGGCCCTGCCTGGGTCACCAGGGCCCTTGCAGTGCCATGGGGCTTGGGCACAGACCTGCTATGTGAGTTCACACTGCCCTTCTCAACCCCACCAAACAGAACTACCCCACTTCTGCTGAGGTATTCAGCTTTTACCTCTCCTAGCAAATGTATGACCTGACCCCCCCAATTTTTTGTCCATCCACCCATCTCCATACACATCCATCCCCATATGTATCAATCTATCTATGTCAGCGATTGGTACCTGGGAACCAAGATAAACAACCCATAATGCAACAGGTTCTATCTCATTTTTTTTGCTCAGTTCTGACCCTCCCAAATGCTTGATTGAGACCCCCCACCACCACCACCACTTCAGGTGCAAGACATCAGTGGTAACATGTAATAAACAAAGGACAGTGGCATTGAGCCAATCAGCCAACTAGGCAGACTGAGTCTGACAGTGCTGGACATACCAAGCTGCTCATCAAGCATCAAAACCACACCCCAAGATAGAAGAGCCTTGTGAGGAACAATGGCCTAAGGGCTAATGCATAGGGTGAGGACTCATGAATTCAGGCCTCTCTCACAGGCAGTCCCTGGGTTACGTACAAGATAGGGACTGTAGGTTTGTTCTTAAGTTGAATTTGTATGTAAGTCGGAACTGGTACATATTGTAGGGGAAACTCTAGCCAAACATTTCTCCAGAGCTCAGTTTTATTCTCCCACACCTCACTTCCCTCAGTCCTTTATTCTCAAGCTGAGGTAAGTGAGGTGTGGGAGAATAAAACTGAGCTCTGGAGAAATGTTTGGCTAGAGTTTCCCCTACAATATGTACCAGTTCCGACTTACATACAAATTCAACTTAAGAACAAACCTACAGTCCCTATCTTGTACATAACCCGGGGACTGCCTGTACTTGGGCACGTTATTTTCCCCCTCCCTGTGCTTCATTTTTCCCAACTGTAAAAGGAAGAGAGTAATGGAGTAGGGTAGGTTTTCTATCCAGAGAAAATTCACTGAGATTCCAAAATAAAATAAAATAATTCCGGTCTAGAATCAGGATGAAAAGTTAAAATCCCAGAATTTTTTTAAAATTTGGTTTAGTCAGTCAAAACATTTTGTATTTTCCAAACATTTTTACTATAATTACCCCAAATTTGTAAATAAAAAGTCATTTTGCACTGAAAAACTGATATTTGTCATATTCAATTTTTCATCTTCAAAACTGTTTTCTTAAAATGTTTTAGAATTAAGACATTTGTCAAAAACAATACTTGTCAGCACACCATTTTCCGCAGAAACCTTTTGCTAAAATGTTTCAAACTAGCACTAATTATAACCCCCCCCCCCGCACCCTTTTGGTCTGTCTTGTCTAAGACTGTCAGCTCTTTGGAACAGGGATGTTTTGGACTTACTTTGCAACAATTATACCTGCCTCTAGAAATTTCCACTACATGCATCTGACAAAGTGGGTCTTTACCCACGAAAGCTTATGCTCCAACACTTCGGTTAGTCTATAAGGTCCACAGGACTCCTCGCTGCTTTTGAAGAATAGTGATGACCAGGGCTCGACAAATACAATCTACTCTCTCGTGGTGAGTAGATTGTAACCCAGAAGAGCTGGGTTCGGGCAATCTGCGCACGCGCAGATCACCGGACAGCGTGGCTGGCGAGCGGGGCTCGCCGTGGTTCGGCGAGCCCTGGTGATGACTCAGAACAGATGTGACCTTTTAGTAGCACTGCTAAACCTGGATCCTTCTTAGTTAAAGTTTATTTCTAGTTCTGTAGTATAAATATTATACTCGTTTAGCAACTTGGATTAGTGTGATTGTCACCTCTGTACTTGAAGAATATGGCATGGTATCTAGCAAATGGCATTCAGACTTTCTCTTTTTTGACTTAATCCATGCAAAACAAAGTAAAATTTTAACCAAGTGACCTGCTTACGGCCTTATATAATCTTTCGAGGGATATATAAACCCTACTTGCTTTTTCAGAGGGTGAACTACAAGGATCAGAGTGGAACTAAGCTTTGCAAAACCATCCCCTTATGTATTCAAAGTTCATGGAATGGGAGTGTGGAATTTTCCCTCAATTGACAGAAAACTAAGAATGGTTGTATGGGAATTTTTGCAACAAAGGAGAAGCAACGTGCTAACACACTGTTATTTAGGAAGAATATAACTCACTGCCTCTTCTTGGGAGACTACGCCTTTAAGAATCCGCAGACACTATTTACCAACAGCTGACTTTTTCTAGGCAGTGGTGCACTTTATGGGTGTCTCTGAAGTTGTGAAACAGGATATAAGCCGGAGACAAATTAACATCTTTCTGTGTAGATATTTTGATTGCACATTTAGTTTTTACAAGTATCCTATTCAGGTAACACCAGATATTTGAGCCCCATCGTTTTTGCTTAACCAGGTGGCTAGTGCTGAATCTTTCAACCCAACACCATGAGTTTTGCTGAGCTCTTAGACCACGTCGGGGGCATGGGCCGCTTCCAAATCATCTATGTTATCTTACTGGCTCTTCCAGTTTTTATGATGGCCAGCCATAACCTCCTGCAGAATTTCACCGCGGTCGACTCTGAGCACCACTGCCATGTCCATATCAACATCAACGACACTCCTTACACCAACCTCAGTGGAATGATCGGTGCCAAGGACCTGCTCAGGGTTTCCATCCCCTTCGACAACAACCAGCAGCCAGAGAAGTGTCACCGTTTTGTCACCACTCAGTGGCAGCTCCTAGATCCCAACGTTACAGTCACAAACATAACCAAATTGGAGACTGAACCCTGTGCTGATGGGTGGGTGTACGAGAAGGACTTTTTCACCAGTTCTATCGTTACAGAGGTATGTGAGAGCAAGACCTGCTGCCATGTGGGTAACCAAGTGGGAAAAGGATGCTGACCCCATGGGGTGGAAGCTGGGGGTGGATGAGTGAAAATATGGTTGTTGGAAGCATGCCTGTTTCATAGATTTTTGCAACTAAGTAGCACTGTGGTATGGGCACAGGAGGTTATAATTTTGATCTATCAACCCTGCTCTTCCTAGTCTCTGATCTTAAAATTTGCATCAACCTACAGTCCCTGCACATCCATTGGCATCAGCTTGGTTTCACGGAACCTAAATCAGTGCAGAATTTCATCCAGGGCCATGTGCCATTCTCAGTTACATTCTGGCTCCTGGCGACTTCAATCCATGCAATTTCAAGTGGCTGCCCTGGCACAGGTGGTAAGGAAAGTGTGCAGGTCACAGCCTTTACGCTTCACAGAGCCTGGATTTCTTCAGTGCACAAGCACAAGGAAGCTGTGGTAGCACTGCTTGGGGTGGGAATTTGCCCATCTATTTTGCGTTTGGTGTCCTCTCATTTAAATTCGATGTAATTCTCTGATTCACATTAAAGAAAGCAAGAATGATGCTAAGAGTTAGCCCTGCTCTCCCCTAGATCTCAAAGGGCTTTACACTAGTGACTAATCTTTACTATCCCATTTCGCAGCTGGCGGAAACTAAGGCACGGTGAGGCTACATGACTTGCCCAAGGTCACAGCAAGTCAGTGTCAGAGCCAGGAGGAAAGATCCAGGTCTCTTGAACACACACTTCACTCCAAACCATCCACCTTACATAGGATCTTTCTCTTTGATCCTACATTTCTGTCTAAAGGATCCTAGCACTGCACAGATCCCAGCTGTGTTCAGAGACCAGCTGTGCCAGGTGCTACACAGACCCACGTTGGGAGTGAGGTCCTGTGCTGCCTGGCACTGCACAGAGCCCAGCTAAGACAGAGGACCCAATGGCTCAGACGCTGCATGGGCTCCAGCTCAAATCAGGACCCCACTGCTCTAGGCACTGCACAGGTCCCATAGATTGTGCCGTGCGACACACAGACCCCAACTGAGATTGGGGCCCACCTGTGCTGGGTGCTGCACAGACACAGAGCTAGAGACCCAAAGAATTTACAGCCTGAGTAGACAAAGGAGGGATGAGCCTCCCTCATTCTGCAGACAATGGACACTGAGGCTCAGCTAGAATGAGGTTGTGATGCCCTACAGATGACATTTCCCACCAGTTGTAGGTAGCTTTGGACGTTTATTGCATATATTAAAATTGATTGCAATGGGCACTGGATAGCCAAGTGCTGCCTGTGGTTTTGAAAACCTCAGCCTAAAGCACCAACTCTTTTGAGCCCCAGTCTGGGGCCTTAAACACCTTTTCTCTTCCCCTGACAGTGGGACCTCGTGTGTGATTCCCGGCAGCTGAAGCAGATGGCTCAGTCCCTCTACATGGCCGGGATCCTGGTGGGAGGCATCATCTTTGGAGGCCTGTCAGACAGGTGAGGGTGATGTCGTTGTGAAACTGAGCAAGGCTGGTCCTGGGGGGAGTCAGGAATCTCGCGCAGGAGGAGAGATGTTGTGGTGTCTCTGTACGGGGCACTGGTACGGCTGATACCAGAATCCTGTATCAGTTCTGGTATCCACAACTCCACAAGGCTGTTGGTAGGTTGCAGGGGGGTTAGAGAAAAGCCAGGAGACTGAGGAAAGGCTTGGAAAAGGTGCCTTACAGAGAGACATTTGATCACAGTCTGTATGTTGGAGCCCCACAAATTCTTTTTATGATTTTTTTGGTGAATTGCTCGTGATTTTTATTTTGTTCATTTTATCCATGTGGGGGAGGGGAGGATTGGATCCTGCCCCTGAGGGTTGGCAGGTTCTGGAGGGGGACGGGGCCCTGCCACCAGGTGCTGGGAGGCTCTAGGGGAGACAAGTCTTCCATGCCCAAGTCTGCCCTGCACTCACCTTGCAGCTGTAACTCCTGAGGGTCTAGGAGGTGGGGCTGGGCCCAGCTCTTGAGTCAGGGTGCAGCAAGCTGGCACAGGGGGTCACAATGCTGCCCAGGTTTGATCAGGTGCCCCCCTGTTCAGAATAGGGAGCCTCACAGGCCAGGAGCTGCCACAGCAGGCTTGGTTTTTTGCTTTATTTTGTTTTATTTCACATTTGCAAAGAAGATGGGGCTCTGTATATAGGTACCTGCCTGGGGAGCAGAAATCTGGTAACAGCTTTTCCATCCAGCTGACAAAGGGCTAGATGGAAAGTGAAGCTAGACAAATTCAGACTGGAAATAAGGTGCAAATTTTAACAGCAAAAGGAATTACCCACTTGAACAACGGCCCCAGAGCTGTGGTGAATTCTCCATCCCAGGAGCTTTTAAAATAAAAATTGGATGTTTTTCTAACAGTCCAATACCAGCCAGGTGATGGGCCTCAGATTGCCTTCATCCATCCCTGAAGGCCTTGTCATTCGCAGCCACAGCACAACTGTCATGAAGTATTTTCATCAGTAACCTTTTGTCACATGCCACAGAGCTGGTTTTAGAGCAGGGACCTCCTGCCTGTTTGCCCATTCCCCTTGCTAGGAAGCCACAGACATCAATGGCTCCAAGAGTCCCTGGCACCAGGGTTAACTCCTACTCTGAAAACACTTTTCTCAGTCTCCTGGGTTTCCCTCACCTGTTCTCTTGGTTCTTTCGGGCTCAGGTTTGGACGCAGATCTCTCTTGATCTGGTGCTACTTGCAGATGGCCATCACGGGCACGTGCTCTGCCTTCTCACCCAGCTTCACTGCCTACTGCATCTTCCGCTTCCTGACTGGAATGGCCTTCTCGGGCATCGTGCTGAACGGTGTCTGTCTATGTAAGTGTGTCCAGCGCCTGCCACTCCAGACACAAGACAAGCTGGCTACTGGGGATAGAAGGAGGTGCCTTGGTCCAGCAGCTGATAAATGAGTCTGTGGAGGGATCACAGGGAGGCCAGAAGCACACACAGCATGGGTGGCATGGCCAAGATCTCAGCACTCAAAACCGGGAGTTAGATTTTCCAAAAAGTCCACCCTGGATTTCCCACGGCACTCAGCAGTTCACAGTGGCACATGGATTTGCTACAATCGATAAGGGCCTGAGCATGTTATTTAGGTGCTTAAATGGGTATTGTTCACCTCAAAATCTGGCCCTGGCCTCACTTCTGAAAAAGTGGTACCTAAATGAGAACTGAGTTCCCTAGAACAATCCCCCCCCCCCCACATGATCCCATAACAGAGATGCCACAATATGTCCTTTACAAAACAGGGCAGCTTCCAATAGCATACAGGTCCCCCCAAAATGGGATGGATGCTCAGTGGAGTAGGGTGCCATTGTTCAATAACAGATGCCACAATGCCTCTTTCACATAACCGGCACGAGTCATGAGCATCAGCTGGGAGCTACGAACTCCCTCCTCATTACTAAAAAGTCCCTTCCCTATACAGAATGTACTTGTCCTCCAGGGACTGGAGGGTCAGCCGGGTATGAGAAGCTAGTGGGACTCAGACTCATGTTACATAATAGCTGGGTACTGTGGCTGATGCATGTCAGGGTGCAGATATGCGCCACTGTGGGGCGTGAAAGCAGCTGCAGCCCTGCAGGGTACTGTACCACCTGCTGCCATAGGGAGGTTCTGGAGTATTTGCAGCCACGCTGAGGACAGTGCATCCTGCTGCCCCTGAGGAACAGGTGCTGCTGTAGCCCTGAGGGTACAGCATTGCTTGCTGTTACGGGGAGGGCTGGAGGTGCTGGAGGGTGCAGTACTAACTGCTGCCATGGGGAGGGCAGAGGGAGAGGCTCCAGCAGGGTGCAGAACCACCTATGGCCAGCAAGTGGGGCAGAGCTAGCAGGGGAAGGAGGCCAGAACAGGAATGCAGGTTCTGGGGAGCTATTTCATCTCAGCCTCACCGAGGCAGGTGTACACTGTTTGTACCTGCTTCCTGCTGCCTTCACCTGCACTTCTTCTCACCACTGGAGGACATCACCCCGAGGACAGAGACATTATTTTCCCTTTCTGTGTGTATCTCCCCAGCTGTGGAATGGACACCCACCCACACCCGGGCCATTGTGGGCACCATGTATGGCTACTGCTACACGACCGGGCAGTTCATTCTGGTAGGGGTGGCTTACGTCATCTCCAGTTGGCGATGGCTGCAGCTTGTGGTGTCTTTGCCCTACTTCATCTTCTTCATCTACTCCTGGTAGGTTAGCTCATCCTCATCCTTTCGGATCAGTCTCCTTCCAACCTGCCTTGTTCACTGAATGCAGCAATGAGTGAAATGTTAAGCAAGTAGAATAACAGATTGAGTATCCTGATTCTCAGAAGCTTGCTCCTCGGTAGTTGCAACATGCTCTTCTCCAGCCTTGGCAAATGAAGTCTTGCTCCACTCACATCCATTCAAAACACTCCCGCAAAGATCATTTCCCTCTCCCGTGGCTTTGCTCAGGTCACCCCTCTTTGCAGCCTTCCAATGGCTCCCCATCTTCATCGCACCATACACAAAGTACTCACCTTCACATTCAAAGCTGTTCATGGCCAATGGCAGCGTAAGCATCTCATTTGTCCGCCACTAGCACAGGGCTAGTGATTCCCAACTCCAACTGGCCTGTGATGCCTGCCTCCACTGCACACTTGCTACATTTTGAAACAAGCACCTTTTGCGCTTTCGCCCATGCTGCCCCCTGCACCTGGGTGGAGTTCCCCTGTCAACATCATCTCATTGACCCTCCTCAAACCCTTCAAACTCTGCTTTGTGGTGAGGCTTACAAAAAACCCGACGTTGGTTAGGCTGCTGCTGATACTGTCTTGCAGTTTCCTTGTGCTCTCTTATCTGTCTGTAAGCTTGTTTTGTCCTTAGATTCTAAACGGTTTGGGGCTGTGACTGTTTTTTTGTTCAGCATCTGGCACAATGAAGGTCTTGCCCCATGACTGGGCCTTCTGGGCATTAGAGCAATACACATAATAAATAATAATGAACAGAGAGCTATGAAAACTATGGAGTATCATACCTGGAATTGTTTCAGCAAACTAGAGAAGTGGAGAGACTAAGAATAAAGAAAGTTGATGATTTGATGTTTTTAATTTGTTTTCCATGAAAAATGACTCCTTCCCCCCCCCAAAAAAAATTCTGTTTCCTTCAAAAATGTTCAAAGAAAGGAAACATTTAATTTTAGTTTCCAGAATTTTTGCTGAAAAATAACCATTTCTTTCTAATTCTAGCAATTTCTTTGATATAACAAACATTTCATTTCAATATTTTGGGGTTATTTTTTCAACTTTACTCCATTTACCAGTGGAAAAAATGAAGTAAACAAACGAGAGGAAATAAAAAAAGCTCTCCCTAAATGGAAACAAAATGAACACTCTTGTTCTGTTGTAAATTTTTTTTAATATATTGTGAAAAATTTCAGCTGAAACCAAACAGGGATTTACCCCACCCATAAAATCAATGCTAGGTTAATGTGAGGGGTTTATCTATCTTAAATACTCATCTGGCACCCATCATCACAGCACCTAGGCACAGCACAATGTTTAATATATTTATGCTCACAGCAAGAATGGGATGGCAAAAACCATAGGAGTTCTTGAAGCTTTGAAAATATTTCCCATCCTGAATCTGGCCAAAAGTCTAAAGTAGGAAAACTTTTGTCAATTGATAATGTGAAAAAATATTCAGGTTCGGTCAAACAAAATGTTTCCTTTTGATAATTTTGAAACTTTTATTTTTGATCTGAAGCTTTTTAATTTATTTTTTACCCTTAAATGAAGAAAAATGAACCAAAATGGTTGAAAATTTTAATTTTGACAAAAGTCAAATTTTGAAGCTTTTTCCATTTTTTTAAAAAATTGAGAGATTCATGGCAACCAACCTTTTCCTGTAGTCCGTTTCAGTTCAGACAAATCAGCATTTTTCAGTGGAAAAATATTTCACTAAAAAATGCCAACCAGCTGTAATCACAACAACTTTCTGTGGTAGAGAGCAGAGCTATTATCTTGTAATACAGATGAGCCATTTCAGACAGAGATAGACTAAGGCTTTATCTACCCTTGCACTTGATCGACCAAACTTTAGTCATTCACGGGGACTCAAAAAACCCCGCATTAATGAGAAAGTTTAGTGGTGGCAAGTGAAAGTGTGAACGCTGCTTTGGCTGCAGGACCACTCACCTATCCACAAAGTGAACCCCTCATTGGGGGTAAAAGTATTTTGCTGACAAAGGAGCTGACAAACAGCGTTCACACATTCCGATTTTTAGCAATAGTGCTGTGTTGACAGAGCCTTGTCGCTAAAAGCTGTGTAGTGTAGACATACTCCGAGACATGTCTTGCAACAGTGGCATAGGAAGTCAGCAGGGGAGCAAGGAATGGAAGCCAGGTTTTGGCCATATCACCCTATTCTTCCTTCCTGGTGCACTACCGAGTGCAGTACCGCCTGCAGCCACTGCACTGTCTCCTGGTGGGAATGGAGGTTGCAGTAACACCAGGCAGCAGGGGAAGGTTCCATTGATGCAGGTTCCATGGAGGCTATTCCACATGCCCACTGCTGCCTCTGTCACTGGTTGTGTCCTGCAACGCCAGCACCAGCTTTGGGCACTGCACCATGCACCGCTGGGGCAGATCCCAGTACAAGGAGATCCAGGCAGGTGTGTTTTCATCTCTTCTGTTTCCCAGGTGGTTTGCAGAGTCTGCCCGCTGGCTGGTGATGACTGGCAGACATGACCATGCAGCTCAGCAGCTCAAGAGAGTGGCCAGGATAAATGGGAAGAAGGAAGAAGGAGACAAATTCAACACAGAGGTAAGACTGGATCTCAAGAAAAGTTGAGAGCACCCACCAACTCCAGCAGCCCAGAGAGGCACATGAGAGAAGCAAGTATAATTTAGTGTAGCTGAGCTCATAGTATGAGGGCTCCGCAGATGTACACCAGCAGTGCACCCAGCTGTAATATTCCCTGAGCAATATTTTCACCATGTCATGTCAGTGACAGCTCAGGCTTTCGGTATAACAGTCAATTTCACCATACTTTGTACATATGGAATCTCATTGTATCTTCTTTCAGTCTATCTACCTATAACTGTACACACACAACCATCTATCCAGCCATCTATCTATCTATCCATCTCTAGACAAACATCTATATTTTTATAAATGTACAGTCATATATGTAATTTTTCTATTAATCCCCATGCAGTCTATATCAGTGTTTCTCAACCAGTGATACAAGTACCTTTGGGGAGCTTGAGAGAAGTCTGTAGGGTACGTCAACATAACTGAAACTTGGAGAAAACTGAATTTTTGTCTTAAGTTTTACAGCACTTTATTGTTTTTGTACTTTTTATACACCAAAATTTCATTGCCCGCCCGGCTACAATTAAGTTGTTTAAACAAATGTGTTACAATAGAAGAAAAGAGCGGTGTGTCTGAAAACTGTAGGTACTGAGGGTACTTACTTTTTTTTTGAAAAAGGGGGTACTTATAATTTTTTTAAAGGGGTACTTTATGAAAAAAGGTTGAGAAACACTGGTCCACACACACCACTGTATCCATCCACCCTCCTGCACACTCATCTACCTACATACATACCTATCCATCCATCCATTCCTAGATGTACACATTTTTTTGTCTGAGGCCTGTTCCAAGACAAGAATTTTGTCATCACTGGATGATCCAGAATCTCATCGCCTCTCATAACCCTGCTCTGTTTCCAAGCTTTTCCCTGACCATGGAGGCCCCATACTCTGTTACCCAGACCTCTGTTCTCTCTCCAGGCCTTGATATCCAACATGCAGAAGGAAATAGCCTCTTCAAAGAGCAGTTATACCTTCATTGACCTGGTGAGGACCCCTGTCATGCGCCGGATCTCCTGTTGCCTCTGCTTTGTATGGTGAGTTGGCTCATATGATCCCATAAAGAGGAAGCTGAGACAATGGTATGAATGAAAAAAATCAGCAAAAAAATATTTTGAGTTGAACAGGAAACTACTTTTCTTAATATTTGGCTAATCAAAAAATTGGAAAAAATCAGATGAAACCCAATGCTTTGATTTCAAATATTTTAAGATGTTTTTAAAATAAAAGCAAAGAACATTTTGAGATGAAAATCAAAACATTTTTATTTTTTATTTGGGATTATTTATTTTCTTAAAGGCAAACAATTCAGCAAAAGGGACATGAACTCCTTGGCTGTGTCTACACTGATGCGATCTTGCGCCAAAGTGACCGCTCTTGCGCAAAAACTTGCTGCCTGTCTACACTGGCCACGTGTTCTTGCGCAAGTAAACTGACATTCTAATGTATGAAATCAGGGCTTCTTGCGCCTGAACTGATGCTCCCGCTCAGGAATAAGCCCCTTGTGCAAGAGGCCAGTGTAGACAGGCAACATGAATTTCTTCCGCAAGAAAGCCCGATGGCTAAAATGGCCATCAGAGTTTTCTTGCGCAAGAGAGCATCTATACTGGCATGGATGCTCTTGCGCAAAAGCACATCTCTTGCGGAAAAGCACATGCCAGTGTAGACGCTCTCTTCTGGAAGAGTTTTTGCAGAAGAACTCTTCAGCAAAGGGTTTTTGCGTGAGTGTTTTGATGTTGTTGCATCTGCATTTTGCACTGAAAAAAGTTTTAGATGAAAAATTTTGCTCAGCTCTACGAAGGCTGACAGATGCGCTGCGTCATCCCATGTCATGTCAGTGACAGCTCAGGCTTTCAGTATAACAGTCAATTTCACCTTGATTGACTATCCCCTAGGCCAACATTGTGCTGGGTCACAGCTCAGTACGTTTTAGTGAGTTTTTGGTAAATCCCATCTGGGAGACAGCAAGGGAAAACCATCATGAGGTGCTTCTACCCAGATGCAGAATCCTGGCTTCAGAAACTCCTATTTCTAGTATTAGGACACATTCCACATGCAGAGCCGGAGAAAGAACTCAGGTGTTCTTGGCTCCTAGTTTGTCCTGTGCCAGCTTTAGACCCCACTCGTCTCTGAGAACTATAAACAACAAAGTTCCCTCTTGCTCTAACCAGTAGGCCACACTTCTCCAAAACTGGGAATAGAGCCCCCCACAGTCCTGGCTCCTAGCTGCTTACCAGTCTAACTCATGAGAATCTAATCTCTTCCCACAGTTATGAACAGGACCCAGTGCAGTCCACCTACTAGTCTACACTGCCACCCAAAGCAGCAAAGAGAACTCATGAGTCCTGACTCCAACCACTAAACACAATTCTAAACAGGAACATGCTTGTAATAAACTCAGTGGTAAGGACCCTCTGTGCATCAATCTCTGTCTGATTCATCCCAGGTTCTCCACTAGCTTTGCCTATTATGGGTTGGCCATGGACTTGCAGAATTTTGGTGTCAATATCTTCTTGATCCAGCTGGTCTTCGGAGCTGTCGATTTCCCAGCAAAGTTCATCTCGGTCCTCACAATTAGTTTCATCGGACGCCGGTTCACACAGGCCTGTGTCCTCATCCTGGCTGGACTCTCTATCATAGCCAACATCTTTGTCCCACAAGGTGATTACATGGTGTCCTGGATTTTCAGAGGTTGATACAGAGGCATTCAATCCTTTGTCATGTCAAAGGTCCAAAGCCTAGCTGACAAAGGCTATGTCTACACTGCAGGGGGGGTTCCAGGATACCTGCCACATCCAGAGAACGCGTTTGCATGTCCGCTTTTTTTTTTTGCGGATGTGCAAATGCGCTTTTTCGGAAACCCCTGTATTCTTCCTTCCATGAGGAAGAAGGGGGCTTCTGAAAGAGGGTTTTTTTCCGACATTTGGCCCAGTCTAGACGGGCCAAATGTTGGAAAAGCCTCTTCTGACAAAAGAATTGGAAAAAGCTATGCAAAACATGGAGCGCATTTTGCATAGCTTTTTCTGACAGAAACCTGTAGTCTAGACCTAGCCATAGTCGGCAGCAGGGGAGGGAGAAGAACGAATCCAGTGCTACTCAACATGTGGCCCGAGGACCACATGCGGCCTGTGGCCCGTTTGTTTGCAGCCCACGGTGTGGTTTGGGTTTATGTGGGGCTCAATATGCAGTCCACAGGTGGGATCCTTTGAACATGCCCTCCACTGGGAACACATTCCACAACAGCAAGGCATCTCCCAGGTGGGGTGAGTACTGAAAGACACAAGTGAACAGGCTGGCTGGAACAGATAGGTACAGGGTGTCGGTGTTTCTAGCTCCCAGGGAGGAAGTGCTGGAAGCGCTGCGTGAAAGAAACTATTTGCATATATATATTTGCAACTTACATTGTGGCCCTTAGCATGTGCTGTGAGTATCATTGTGGCCCCCAGGGCTTCCAAAGTTGGCTAATCTGTAAGAGCTAAAGGACTCAAGGCCACCGATAAGGCCACAGCTGTGTACTATGGTTGCAGAATCGCCTGCTGCTGCCAAGGATAGAAGCAGCTGGCATATGTTTATGACTCCAGTAGCCATGGCACTGCCCCATGAAGCAACCTGAGACACACATTCAGCCTGAGCAGGGCTGGTCTGTTGCAAGATGGTTGCAAAATGGATGCTCCTCTTGCTGTCTGTGAAGTGTGACAGACACAGTTTCACAAAGCTGGCTGGAAGGTTATTAGTATTTGATCACGGGGCGAGTCGCTGCACAGACTCTAAGGAAGATCAGGCTTAGCACTGTACTAATAATGAGATCAGGGACCCTGGTGCTGAGCAGTGCACACACCTGAAGTGAGAGATAGGCCCTTCCACACAGAGCTCACCATCTAAATAGGCACAATGCAGAAAGGAAGATCATTTCTAAGTGGCAAACTGAGGCACAGATCCTGTAAATTAGCTCAGCTCCATTGATTTCTTGCCCCTTTTGGCTTTCATGGAGCAGCTGGGGATTTGACTCCATTGACACCAATGGAGTCACAGTCAATTTTCACCAGCTGGGAATCTGGTCTCGCTGGCACTAGTGGAACTACAGATGATGCGGGGGATACATCCCATTGGTTCCCTGAGCTTTTCAGCTTTTTTTCGCATGCTTAACCCTCCTCCACTGTATGCTTCTCCCAAGATCTGAAGACCCTACGTACGGTTCTGGCTGTCTTTGGAAAAGGCTGTCTTGCTGCCTCCTTCAACTGTGTCTACCTCTACACAAGTGAGCTGTACCCCACAGTGGTTAGGTATGTGGCAAAAACTCAAACAGTGCAGCTCCAACTTCCCCTACAGCCCAGCAGAACAGAAAAGGACCAGGGCCAAGGGGCTAGTGATTAAAATTGGTCAGGAATTTTTCATCACAATGTATTTTTCTGTTGGAAAAGGCTGTTTCATCAAAGACAAAGCTTTTCATAGGAAGGGGCTGCTTGGAAAATAATTGTGGGGTGTGTGTGGGGGGAAACAGGGTGGAAATTACATTTCCAAAATGAAAAAGCCCATTTTCCCAGGTGGAAACAGCTGTGCATTTTGGACTGTCAGCTAGCTCTAGTCAATAAAAGACAACGATGCTTGTACTGACACATCACAAGGGTTGAAATTGAAATGAAGACATGGGATGGACCCAAACCAAAGGGGTTTTATGTTGGTGAATTCACAGTGATATTTGAAATGTCAATAGTTCATCCTGATTGGGAATGACAAGAATGTTTGAAATCTCAGAAATGATCATGGGACAGGAAACCCCTTTCCTGACCAGCTCTCCTAGTGATGTTAGGGGATGCCCACGTCAGGATCCCAAAGTGGGCCTGACTCTCCACAATGGCTGAGGATGTGCCACCTGAAAAGGGAGAGCCCTCTGAGGCATTTCAGTCTTGCCACACAAAATTGCCCTTCTGCGAACTAAGAACTGCTGCATCAGCTCAAAGATCTAGCTAGCCTAGTCCCAGCTGCAAGAAACTCTGCACTTGTGGGGTCAACTACCCCCAGTAAATGTCTCATTTGTCCCCATGGTGCCAGGTGCTGCACAAACTCTGACTTGGATCAGGGTCCCCATTGTACCAGGTGCTGGCCAAACACAGTGACAGCAGTCTCTGTGCTTCACAATCACAGTAGACAAGGCAAATTGAGGGTGATAGGGGAAAGAGATTAATGCAGAGGAGGAAGGGAGTTGCCCAAGGTCATACAAAGGGTCAGTGGCAGAGCAGGGAAAAGACCCCTGGTATCCTGTCTCCCTAGTCACTCTGGGCACATCCAAACTACATTCCTCTTCCAAAAGAGGAAGGTAAATGAGGCCAATTGAAAATTCAAATGAAGCATGGATTTATAAATCTCACGCTTCATTTGCATAATCATGGGAGAGCCCTTTTTCGAAAAAGAAACCACAGTCTAGATGAGGTTCTTTAAAAAAAAACAACCCTTTTTCGAAAGAACCCGTACTCCTGAAAAAATGAGTATGAAAAGTCGCTCTCCCGCGAGTACGTACTCCTGAAAAAATGAGTATGAAAAGGCGCTCTCCCGCGAGTATGCAAATGAAGCGCGAGATTTGTAAATCCGCGTTTCATTTGAATTTTCAATTGGCTCATTTACATTCCTCTTTCAGAAGAGGAATGTAGTTTAGACATAGCCTCTGAGTCCACAGGGTTTGACTGACCATTACTACTCAGCTTATTGCGTGTGAACTCCTTAACCCAGATTCATCTCAACTCTGTGGCTTAAGCTAATAGCTCTGTTTGTTATCTTCTTTACTATATATTTTAGTATCTGCATCTGTCTTTCTGTCTGGCTGTCAGTGAGTCTGTTTGTTCAAGTACTCCTAAATGGTAAGAGCTAGGCCCACCACATTTGATGTGCAGCTTCCTCTTACCATAACTTTAGAGAAGGTCAGGGTTTGATTGTGCCAGGGCAATGGGGTGTGCCTGGAATTTGATTGTTTCTCAGAAAATGGAAAGGGAGGGGTGTGGTAGGTGGGCATTATACTGCAGAATGACCACAGGGGGGGCATCAAAGGGCCAAGATGAGGACCAGGAGAGCTATCACCCCATTGGGCCAACAGGCAGCTGGGGTGAAGAAAGGGACAGCTATCTACTATGTATCTCAGAGTGTTTGTTTGTGTGTCTGTGTGTCTTTCTGTCCCCCACCCAGGGGACATGCGCCCTCCCCCCACCTGTGCTCACTGCAGCTGCAGTGGCCATGGACAGGCGCTTCTCACCTGGCCCCAAACTGCTGCAGTGAGAGAGGCCTGGGGTTGCCCACCCTTCGTCATTCCCACCCCAAAGCAATGATTTAAATGAAGAAAAACAAAACTTACTTGAGTTAAGGACCTGAGCAACGCCGAGAAAATCTTCTAATGTTTTCAAATTCACAGACAGACCGGCATGGGCTTGACCAACACTATGGCACGTCTGGGCAGCATGACTGCCCCATTGGCGAAGATGTTAGAGGATTACATGCCCTCCCTGCCACTCATCATTTATGGGGGTGCCCCAATCATCTCCGGCATCACAGCTGCCTTCCTGCCAGAGACACTCAATGTGCCATTGCCTGAGACTATAGAAGAAGTGGAGAGACAGTGAGTAGAATCAATGAAAGGCAGGAACAGTGGCCATGATGCATTAGTTGAGAGGGGCGTGCTTTATGATACAGACAAGGATCCACTGAGAGCAAGAGAGTGAGGGAGCTCAAGCGATGATAGACAGACAGATAGATATCTGACCCCATTGTTCTGATGTGGCTATGGATAATTTACACCGGGTGGGATCTTGCCCCATTAGCATGTTTTAAGCCAAATACAACTCTTGATACTTGTCTAAGTGTTAATATTTATTGATTCTTTTTTATTAAGATCCAAGCATCTGAGAGATGAGGAACAACAAATGAAGATCCTTCTGAAATCCACCATGCCAGACCCAGCCAAGGAAGCCAGTTAAGGAAAGAAAAAATTAGCAACCATTGTAGGGCAATGGGTAATTTTTTCCAAAAGTGCTTTAGGAGCCTATATTCCATTTTCAGCAGTGACTTAGCCACTTCATGAGAGTTAAGTGCCTCACCTACCTCACATTTGAAAATGTGGCTCCAAATCACTTTTGAAAATGGGGGCTTAGGCACTTTTGAAGATTCTCCCCTGTCTGTTTTACTGTTTTAATCACACCAGAAGTGTGCAGGCATCAGTGATAACTCTGTAGGGGTTCAACTTGCACTTAATGCAGCGAATTAACCTCTTCAAACAGCATATTGACCC